TCTGAGCGACAACGCTGCAACTGTTTTGGGTAGGCGTTTCGTTTACTATCAGGCACAGGACTTGTTCATCCCGTCTCTTGGTTTCATTAATGAAAAAAATAAAAGCAACGCCTAGTTTGCATTTAGTCGAAAACTAACTAAGGTAGACATGAGTTTGACTCTAGGATGCTAAATTCTGAATAAATTTTCAAGGAACATGCGTGTATTATTTTAAGCTGCTAATAGATTGATTGCATACCGAGACCACGACTCCACGGCTGCAACATGAAGTTGCAGCATATTAATTGCGTGCAGTCGTTATCAACTTCATGCAGTCGAGGTCTCGAATAACGACTCGATGCAGAGAGACGAGATCGACTGCATGCAGTTAATGCGTGAAGTTGGTTACGGCTTCACACATTAACTGCAAACGTACAGTCAACCAGCTTTATACTTGTTATGAATTAAAAACCTAAACCTAATGGAAGTTATTTTATAAGAAACAATACTTGTGTGACTCTTCAGGTAACATTCTTAAGAATATATCTGTTGGTTACTTCTTAATATTATTCAAATCCAGACAATATAGTACAAAAGTTATTAGTTAACGATATGACGATATAGGTTTGAAATCGCCAAGTGACGTTGGCTCACGGAAACGGTGTCCTTGGAGGCCATGACATAATCCTTCCTGCTGAGTCATGGGCAGCGAGAGTCGGCGCGGGCTCACGGGAAGCGTCTGCGTGCCGTCTGCTGCTAATCACCAAATAAGGACAATTGACCATTGTCCTTTGAAAGTCTTTGTGGTACACTTGAGGCTAATACCATCTAATAGCCTAGTACATATATTGTAGAAGTTTATTACTTATAAGTTGTCGTATTAGGACGATTTAGAGTGAGTAAAGAACAATGAAATTAAAGGAAGACTCCTTACTTCATCCTCCAGGGTTACAAAGTAAATAACACATTTATATAAAGAAAAATAATCTGCAATGTGTTAGGGTGTAGTAGAGTAGGGTGAGTGATGAAGTGTGTTGGTAAAGATGGAAGAAGATGAAGGAGACATGAAGTTTCAGGCCCCTGCCTTCGAGTGTTGAAGACCAAAGACACCTGCAGGATCGGGGCGTAGTGAGGTTATTGGCGAGACAGCGGTTGTAGTTCAGCAATAGGTATAATAGCAAATTGTACTCGGAGGTGGAGTTCTAATATCATCTTCAGCGTCCGCTTCAGTTACTCCTGTGGCGCGTTACTCGTATGTAGTCGCTGCACAATCGCATGGTGAAGGTGAAGTGTACAGACCAGGTAGAAAGAGCGTAAGAGCATTGAGGAACTTGACACTGGTCAGGCGCGTAAGCGTGAGTCCAGGTGTAGGGCTCAAAATGGTGAGATTTCGTATATTGAAATGAGTTGAATACCAGATGTCTGCAAAGACACTATAGTGAACAATTGGCAGAGTCCAACGATATCTATGTAGTCTTTGGCAGAGTCAGAATGAACATCGAAGTTCGAATAGTGAAATTTTCAATTTGAAATGAGGAGGCAAAATTTGATTAGCCAGGAGCGAAAACGCTCCTTCTGCCAAGATCGCATATCGATGAGAGTAGTTTCTGGGATAGTCTATGGAAGTATACATTATAGAAGAATAATATATCTGTCCCCTAACATCAACAAACCTAAATATTGTTAAGAGTGGTTACACAGGGCGATTTTAGCAGCGATGGAAACGCGCGATTTCATCGCTACACTTGCGATTTATAGGAGATTGCATTGATGCAAACGCGCGACTGCATCGACACATATAAATCTCAAGTGTAGCGATGCAATCGTGCGTTTGCTTTGCTGTTTAAAATCACGCGTATGTCTAAAGACAGACGATTAACGACCGCATCGCTACTGCATCGCGTTTGCATCGCTGCTAACAGTTCCCGTGTGTAACTGCTCTAAAGTCGAAATTAAATTCATATAAAAATAAAACGAAGAAAAATTCACCAAGACTTGGCTGTATTGATTCAAACCTTTGCCTTTACGTTTACAGAAAGAATGAAAAAACAACAACAGCTTAGAAGGAATATGTAAAAAGTGAAATTGAGAAACAATGTGAAATTAGTACTACAGGGAAAAGTGAATAGCAAAGTTCAGAGAAACTCGATATCTCAGCGCGATAGAATGAGAATAGATCTGAAATTTAGACATGAAAAGTGAGTACCTGAATGTCAACCTGAGAAAATCAGCTCGTAAAAAGAAATTTAAGTTTTTTAGGCATTAATACCAACTATTGTAAATATTAAATTATAAAATCAAACTCTTTCAGGAAACAGGAATAGTAAGGGCGTAATGAGAGTGATGAAAATGATAAAGAGTCCGTGGTTTAACACTACAAAGTTTACTATTAGTGTAGTGTTAATCATAAAGGGAAATCAAATACATATAACGAAAAAAACAAGATAGTAACCTCCAGTAAAGAGTTAAACCTATAAGTTTCGGAGTGTAATAAGTATCTATTTTACTACCTAACCTGAAATAAGAAAGAGTGAACCCTATAGACTGCAGACGTCAGTCTATTAACACTATGTAGTTAACCCTAATTAGAAGCGTAAAGTTTATCACCTAATAAAATGTTGAAAGTGACTTTACACTCTTCTTTAAACTGATTATTATCTAGCCTGACCCGGGAACGGCTAGTGCTGTGATTTTATGATTGTCTTTCGTTTGAGTGCCAATTAATATGAGAGGTCTTCGCCCCACGTGAATGCAGACTCTAACATTACTATGCAAATTAGATGATTGTTATTTATATTTTATCATAAAATTGCATTAACTATCGTGTGCCGTTAACATCACGGTAAACGCTATTTATCTTGTTCCACAAGCTGTTATAAGGCATTGAATTCTACGTGGCTTTCAAATAAACGCATTTCGTTTCAGTTTCTCTTAGACGGTCAACAAACAGGTATACGTTTAATAAGTGTGCAAATCGTATCCGTTCGAACTTGTTATTTGCGAGGCTAGCTAGGAGGTTAGCCGCGAGTATTTTACTACACAATCAGAACTTTCACGATTTCAATATTCATAAAGCAAGTACCAGTTTTACGAGGGCTATCGCAGCTACACACAATATATGGCCTCAGTTCAATAGGCATACTTTACGACGTTTCCCTTCACGTAAACAAAGGTCTATAGGCGAGAAATCTTGCACTCTTCGTCAAATTCACACCTTGAGTTTGCAGAATGTGTGTTATTGTAAACGCCCACTGTAAAAATAATATCTAATTCCTGAAATGGATCGTAATTTTAGTTTAAACAATGCGCAGACACTCATAGCCCCGCACTAGGGGAACCCTGTATCGCGGGTGCCATGGCCACACTAATAGACAACTACAAATTACACCCGAAGTCACGAGAGAAATAAATGTAGGCCATACAAATATTTCTCCCGGCACGGGAATCGAACCCGGGATCTCTGCGTGGCAGTCTGGCATGGTAACCGTTCGGCCACAGAGGCAGTTATAAATAGATTGATAATATAGATTCCAATGAATTCTTACGAATTCCGCTCCAATGTTAAAAAATTCAATTGGTAAATTACGGCCATTAAATTGCGCTCGCCGTTAAAGACAGGATTAATTCACAAAGTAAGGAATTTATGACCACTGAAAAGGCCGATGACTTTTTCTGCCTAACGGCAGGTTCACGGGTTAGCTTAGCCCATTGAATGTCGGGATAAGAGCTTTTATTGGACACTTAAAGCAATTTTCCGCTGTGTGCAACAGAGGTATCAGCCGGCGCGGCCATCTCAGTCGCACAGCTCGGTTAGCCGACCCGCGCCCACGGGTGACCCGGCAGCCTACGTACGTTACCTTCGTTGAACGCTGTTTATGGTTTCGCAATACAACGTAAACGTAATCTAGGAAGAGATTCCCTAGTTTACGAGTACCGAATGGACTTTCGTCATATAATACTTAGAGATTGGATTCCTGCACTAACCAACATTCATTACAGCTGAGCTGTTAATGCAAATCTTTGAGTATGTGCAGGCGGCGACTGTAAAACAGACAAAATAATTGAAGTGTACATAACACTTCAATTATTTTGTCTGCAACATGCATGGCATTGTGCCAATAGCACTGTGTAAATACTTGATAACGGTATTTAACAAACTTCTCGTCTATCTAAAGTATATTTTATGAGTCCGATTGCTCGAACGGGAACCGTCGGTGCCACATTTCATAGCTGGGTGGCTGTAGCGGCAATTTCATGCTAAAATAGCGTGCAAAATGTGGAACTTCTATTAGTTGCTGGTTCAGCAGTAAATCAAGTTAAATTATAGTGAGTCGTTGAATACAGGGATATATTTTACAGTTACAGAACAGTACCTGGTTCAACAAGAACTAAATGGAACGTACACCTTGGCCGAAGATGAAACTAACATTGCTTTAACCATAATTTACGGATGCACTGTCGCGTGCAATTTTATAAAAATAATTTTTTAAAGGCGCCTACTTTGTTAAAGAACGAATAATATAAATGTTAGAAAACGTGTCGCAACAGTTAGATATGAGCTTTTGTTTATTATTACCATGAAGATTGTGTAATATATAGTAATTGCTTTAGAGAATCACTTATTATAATATGTGACCGTATAATAAATAAATAAATAAATATTAAATAACATCACATACGTTGCTCTGATCCCAAAGTAAGAAGCTAAAGCCAAGTGCTTTTCGGAAACAACGACGGTACCACAAACACCCATGCCCGAGACAATATAGAAAAGTTAGTTTTCTACATTAACCCGGCCGGGGATCGAACCCGAGACTTCAGAGATTACGACACCATGAAAACCGGTGTGCAAACGGCCTCTGTGGTCCAGTGGCTTACACTCGCCCACAGAGGCCGTCAAAACAATAAATACAGTTTTTTTTATCCTAAATAGTTAATATACTTTCATTCCATCTGCTCACAAACTGCCATTTTGAATGGCAACTGAAACAAAATGCATAATGTTGCTTCATATTACTTACCTTGTTTTCCAAAATAACTTGGTTTTCGAGGGCGTGCAAGATGGCTTCGGAGACCTTGGCTTCAAGCTCCCGAAGCGCATTATCCGCGTCAGGCCTCGCCAACCGTTCCACGCCTTCCACGTAGCCTGCCCACGGAGCGTCCAACTCTGCCACTAGTGATCCTATGCATCTGTCACCAATGACAGCGGCATCATTAGTACCATGTATAACTATTTACAATCTTAAATTTAAAAAGGTATGTATCTACTTGTTATTTTAATTTCTCAAACTTGGAAACAAAAATGTATATGTATATGAAAAATAGGCAGGTTAAAGTTTTGTATCTATTGAAACATATAACATATTCAAAAAATGTATCAAAATAAATAACAAACCCTACAATCCGCTTAAAAGTCGTATTGTGTAAATACCTTTCCCAATGCGCAATAAATATCTACCTCTATTTGAATTAGTTCGTATAATATAATACAACATGAGTTTTCACAGACAAATACTATGGTTTTATTCCTATTAAAGTAGTACTAATACATTATTTAAATACATCTTTCTGATGAAAAAATGATTTTGCGACATTTTGCCTATCGTGTAAGGCAAAATGTCGTTGTCTAAGTATAGATAAAATTAAGTTCATGGTGTAATAAACTCAATGGCGTTTTAAGGAGGTTCCTACTTTCTGGGTATACGTATCTAGCTACCAAAATATCTATAAACGTAATGTAAATATAACAAATAAATACAATCTTAGTTCTTGTAAGCTGTCCTATGGCTTGTAAGTTAATCAGAAAATATTAAAATCTGCAGGCTCTTATTAAGGTCGCTAAAAAAAAGAAAACAATTTAGAAGTATCATTTGCAAAATTTTTTAAATTATGTTAATAAAAATTGCTTAAAACTGTTCTCTACCACAGGCTAATTAGAATTAATTATAATATACCAAATATTCTTAAAAATACAGTTTAAAAGCATTTGTAATCCGCGAAAAATAAATAATAAGTGAATATGAATTTAATCTATAATATCCAATTGTATATAAGATTATTGATAATATCATAATCATACTGTTCGATTAATTCATTATAAAGATATGGGAAACTCCAAAGTGTACGGCTGGGTTACTAAACTTGGCGGAGGAGTACCCCAAATATCTCTATTTTCCTTAAACTAGTTTTTCTTTATCTAACGTACATGATATACGAATGAGTACCAATGAGTTTGACATTGTTCACTCAATGTTACTATTGTTATACAAACTTTTTAAATTAATGAAATGAAAGACGTCTTTGGGAATTTAAGGAAATAAAACAATTTAATGAAATTGGTGAGATTGAAGCGGTCAGCAGGGGTTCAGTACACCTGCAGAGAAGTCGACAGTAAATGGTGAGGTCAGGCGCTGTAACGGCGGGCGCACTGCTACTAATATGGATGTCGTTAAATTTAAGTGCTACAACGTTGTTGCTTAACTTAACTAAATGAAATTTATTTCTTTTACCGTAAATTTGCTACAATCATTTCTGGATTACGTTTTAAATAAATTGTAGAATACACTGTACTGTTATGTCTAAATTCAACACTCGAATTTCACTAGTTTGGCTTCCAAGCTTCCTTTTATTAGAGAGAGGGTTCTACAATAAGTTCATATAAAGAAATATTGGCTTGTAGTATTAGTTCTTCTAGACAAAAGTTTACGAGCTTTGAACATCGTTTATTTAAGTTAAGGCTGGGCTAGATATAATTTAAAGTTATGAGACGTCGTCGGCGAGTCGGCAACTTACTACGACAGCACTTTGTAGCCAAGGGCCCAAACAGATTAACTAAGACTATGCGTTGAACAACAACTTAGCCACTACTCGGACTTTTACTAATTAAAAACTATTTTAGTGTAATTTAATTTAATTAACAAAAAAATAAGATATATAATGATATATCTCACGCACTCATATTATGTGTCATAGCATTAGGGAAACTTTGTATCACGGGTGCCATGGACACACATATAGACAACCACAAGTTATACCCAAACTCACAAGAGAAATAATAGTAGGCCATAAATAAATTTCCCAGTCAGGGTCCTTACCATGATCTCTTATAACGATTCAATTTAGGACCTAAAATGAATCGTTGTGAGATAGAGCTACATGCAATATATATCACCATCCCGCTTTTTGTCGTTACGAACCCATACTGAACTGTAATAAGTGGTCATGGTAAGGCCGCAGGAATCAAACTCGGTACCTCTGAGTAGCAGACCAGCATGGTAACCGTTCGGCCACAGAGGCTGTTAAAAATCAGAGCTAAATAATTGTAAATAGGACTAAAATGCAGTACTTTATATGTCAACGAGCTATAATATGTACACCATATAAATGTATTTCTAGTTAAAGGCAGTAAGGAATTCCATTACAGCCGCAATAACGCTATATGTTCTAAACACTTATTATAGTCCAAATGTACATACTATTATGAGTATATATAAAGTCACGTTTGTTCAGCTTACCCTCTAGCAACGTTGAGGCAGTAATTTCTACAAGGTCGTACTGCATAACCGCGACAGTGCAGGCACCCGGCTACACGGAGTAACTTGGCCGAACACTCCTCCCCGGCGCTGGCCAGCACGCGCTCACTGGCTGCCAATGCGCCAGCCCCCACCGCCAGTACTTGCAGCAATGCTCGCGCCACCTCCAGCGATTTTGACAACGAGTCTCCCAGCTAAATACAAATAAATGTTCTTCAGTTTAAGGCACAAATAAAAACATCTTCTTAAAATTAGCAACTTCATCTAGGAGGAGAAAACATTGAATTATAGAAGGACATTAAAGATCCTTGCTCGATTTGTCGTGATAATTCGAGCGAATAGATACTAAGCTTCAGACAGGCATTGAAGGATTTTGGGCTATTACTGTAATTCTAAGAAGCTCCGAGTTTATGATGATATTCTGCCACTCAGCATTATTGAGAAATTCATTTCATATCTTTGATTGTTTCATTTTCATTAATTCTTAGTTCTAAAAGTATTTTTCAATTCACGAAATGCTTACCTTTTGTGGTACATCTCCGAAAGGTTGTACAGATTCGTAAGCAACTTTGAGACAGCCTTCGTAATCTCTGGTAAACTGTTTTCCTTCTAGCGCCAGTACTTTGTGGTATGCCACAGGAAAGATGTCTCGGAAAAATCTTTTCGCGCTGTCTACAAGGTTTCTCGGCGGGGGAGAACTCAGGGCTTCCCCAGTTGAGTCGTAATCCGGGGAATTCAACAACGCTCGGATATCATCGTAAAGTGCACTTAGAGGCCCGTGCGCTTCTGACGCGTGTCCCCGGTACACTTGCGCGAATAGCACCGAAGTTTTGTTCTGCGACTGGTGGGACAGCGCCATGAGGTGCTCTACATAGAAAGAAAAACGTTGTGTTAATTGAGACTTACACGCATAGATACTTTAAACATCCAATTTCAATAACAATTAATTACGTTAATAATTCTTGAATATGCTGTAGGTACAAAAAGTTTAAAAAATAAAAAAAAAATACGTAGAAGCAAAAGAGATCACAATCCAAACAATCCCGCCGAAATACAATTTCGGCTCAACCAGTTACGAAAACAGTTACGTAATATGAATTACGTTCCAATTTTGACAAATAGTGAGTAAATAAACTTAGTTTGTGGGCAAACATCCTCTTGATATTTGGTTTGTGACACCTGCTATAAAGTTGGGCGCTATCTAAGAGGAATGCGGGTCCGGGATCAGCCTGGCATTCCTGTGTCAAGATATACCTTGAATTACTCACAGAGCGCTGCTCCTCGAACGATAACTTAAGAAATGAAAGAGAATGCCCATCTTATTAAGGATGAGGTACTTGCGAACAAGGTTCTCTGACTACAAGCGAAACACTGTTATGTACTGTCTTATATATATTATAGATAGGAATAAAACTACAGAGAAGATAAACTGCTTTCGGCAAATTTACAAAACACGTATATAATAAGGAGGTATGTGTTTTTTCTGAATAAGTATCAAATATTTTGCTTGTATTCTAAACTTAATAAGTAGTAATGTATATGTAAATGTACTTTGCTTCTTTAAGCAAAGTACACTTACATATACATTATTATTACGATTCTTTAATCGTTTCTTATTTGCAGAGGGTAAAAGGGCACATGGCCTTTGACGTTGTGTCATCGTCTCTTGCCGGTGGCGCCCCGTGAAATAGATGCTTTGCATATAAAATGGGTGACAAAGCGATGGTTTCTTCAGTACCGAACCTACTTTTTTCTACGAAGTCGTGATATAATTAATTATATTACGTGCGTAAGTTCAGATTTCGGTTTCAGTGAGTGGTATTTACTTGTGTCCATTCTGCAGATTGTATGATGACTCCAGATTGTGATGTGAATTTTGTAATTGAAGCTTATGTTTCTATAAATTCGCAAGATCGGAAACAAATGTTACGACATAAATAAAGTCTTTAATTTTATCAAACTCAATGAATATCTCAATCAGTTCTGAAATAAAAAAAATCACAGCAAACAAAACTTTATATTTAACGGACGTTTCCCCTGTAGAGTAATTTGTTTGTGAGGACTTGAAGTAAACCTTGCTGCATGCAGTCGAAACCAACATCATGCACCCGAGATCGACTGCATGAAGTTAATGCGTGAAGTCGTTATCTGCAAATACATGATAACCAATTTGGTTTCAAGTCTGGACTCTCCACAGAAATCTCGTCAACCAATTTGAGACCAAACCAAGACCAATTTAGTCTCAAATTTATCCAGCTCATTGTTAAGCAAACTATCAAGTACTTTTGCAACTATTGTGGCCAATGAGATAGGTCGATAATTACTTTTGTCACTAATGTCACCGTTCTTGTTCTTAACTATCGGCACCACCGTAGTCCTAGTCATCACCGTAGTCCTCGTCATCTGAGCAGGCAGGTAGGATTTAATTTAACTGTACATTTACTGTTCATTGATTTCTTGGGGGAATTTTTCTAAACTTCTGTCGTATTTGATCATTGAAACGATTTAATGTTGCTTAAATAAGAAAAGATACAGTTTCTATTCCGTCCAAGACTTTGCCCGTTGGTGAGTTATTAAGTCCGTTTCATTGGAGTCGTTTGATTTCATCGTTCATTTTCGTTCTAGTATTTAAAGGCATTCAAGGGAAACACATTCACAAATGGTTACTGTACAATGAATGATCATAGATACTGCTAAAAATAAATTTACATAACAGTTGTTCTGTGGCTGATCAATCGAAGTCGTGGACAAAGTATTTATTTTGTATTATCGTTACCATAATGCCATAAATAAATAACGACTAAATGATTAAAAATATATAATTAGATAAGTACGTTCTCTACACCAATAACCCAAACAGTTAGACTAAAATAATTGTTGTGTGAGGTTAATTGACATTTCCTACGTAATACACTACATACCGTTGAGTCAAAAGGATGTAATACATGATATTAATTAACGTCCTTTTACGGTGCTGTAATAATAGCGAAACGAGTCAATAAATAAATGTCAATCTAAGCACTCCAATCACTCGGCTATGATGAAACAGTTAACTTTCACACACTTTCATAAAATTAGTGTTTCACTACAAGCTGTGTTGTGTCCGCCGCTGTCTGACCGAATGTAGCGCCACACCCTGCCTTCTCCTTGTATGAAAACTCCAAGCTCCCTAATTACAGTTATGCAAATTTTGCTGTAAGTTTTATCGCCCAATAAAGTTGAAGATGTTGAGATACTTCTGCATTTAATGCAAGTTAGCTGATATAAAACTATTTAATTTAATGGTGCCGGTTTTTCATAAATTTCGCTTATTCAATATTTGTTCTCGCTCGTGAGGTCCAGTTTTCATGAATTCATCATTTTACATCATCAATGATACTGAAGAGGATGTTTCTGATCTGAGTTTATTAAAAGGGATTTTCATTGGGACTTATTTAGATTACACCAACTGCGTCCAATTGCAAATCCATTCTCACACTCTCACTCTCAAGTCTCAAAGAAAACAATGAACGATAACCCTAGCTCCCCTCAAAACCTTGTACATCATTAGATCTCTATTAATATGGAATGCGTCGTTGTACCGTCATAAAATACAAAGGTAAAATATTCCAGAGGGTGCGCGCGTGTGGTCTTCAGTGCCCTGTGCCGGTACATAAGGGTCCCTTGGGGCTTTGATTATTTCCTTTAGTGCGAGAGTCGGGAGTGGTCTCATTGTTTTACTGTAGATTCGCATCTGATGTTACAATTCGGAGACAATGACAGTTTATCGGCTAAAAATCATTTTCGACCTTAATAACTGCACCTTACAACTTAATTATCTATTAAGGTTCAAATTTTATTTTAAAAATCAAGCAGTTTCAGATAATGAGGCTGGAATCTCACTACTTTTAACATTAACAAAAACTGTCTCTGTGGCCGAACGGTTACCATACCGGACTGCCACGCAGAGGTCCTGAGTTCGATTTCTGGGCCGGGGGAAATATTTGTATGGCCTACAATTATTTCTCTCGTGAGTTTGGGTGTCATTTGTGGGTGTCTATGTATGTGTCCATGCCACTCGCGACACAGGGTTTCCCTAGTGCGGGGCTATGTTGAGTGTGTGGGTTATTATTAAATACAATTCATATATTTATTCATCAAGAAGATGGTGATTAAAATCCTGCGATCAATACTCTACATCCAAAAGTCTTAGGTGAGTGTCTTATGTAAGGGAGTTACGTAGAAGAGGTTTGGATGGGTGAATGGATGTGATTGAGTAAACATGTTCAGTGAGTGTATAAACGATTGAATTAATGAGCGAGTGAATCAGTGTTTGAGTGCAGTAAGTGAGTACTTTATTTCTACTTTATTTAATAATGAAAAAAATATTTATAAAGAAATCATGTAAATGTTGCCGGCAGATCAAGAATCTCTAAGGAAAACAAAACTTTTTTTCTCAGATAGCTGGTATACCACCGGGAGCAATACATCAGAACGATTGTTTAACAAACACTCGGTCGGCAAATTGGACAGGCCAGTATTGACGGCACGGGTAAACACTAACCGTGGCTAACAAGGGATAGTCGTGTTCAAATTACGTTTATATAAAACTTTTCGTTGTCGTTTACATAATATTTTGTACTATTACCGTGTTCATAAAGTAATTAGTTTTTACCTGTATTTCCATTTAGCTTCGTAATATTTTCAATTATATTTTATGTAGCCGTAGAGCTCCTTGTGAAAGAATTCGTCCAGGGTAGTATACCACCTTACCTATTTCTGCCGCCAAGCCGGTACGCAGTAATGCTCGCGTTACTGCGTTGCGAATTTGAAGGGTAAGGGTGCTGGTGAAATTACAGGCACATGAGACTTTTCAACCTATCTCTCAGGGTGACGGGCGCAGTGGCAGTGCCCTTTGACTTGTACTGCAACTGTTATGAACTGGCGTGACACTTACCACCAGGCGCACGACTTGTTCATCCCGTCACTTGTATAAAAAAAAATATCGTTTTGTTTTTCGTCAAAGAATATGATTGAATATGAGTTGTGACGATTACAAGAAAGAAACAGTATTGGTGACCCAGTTGTACGTTTTATATTTACTATACACTTGTTTATTTATACCAGTAACTGTGCACTGGACGTAAACATAAACAACTTAGACTGAAAATATAAAATGTTCGAACGGAGTCGAATATTTTTGTTGACGAATAGTCAACAACAACTAAATGGGTATTTTTCATTTTTTTTTAAATTCTGTGAATGTCAGCTTTTAAATAAATAATATCTAAATTGTGTTTTGTGTCAATGAAGTATAGGTAAAATAGTGTAATTTAGGAAAAAAATTTATTCATTGAATGCATAATAATAGGGGTTAAAGTATGAAATTGCCGATTTGTACTGAAAATCTAAATTGTTTATTTTTTAAATTTTTAAGAAATTTATTTAATCAAAATAGTTGCCATTATTATCTATACATTGCTGCCATCTAATGGGAAGGTTATTAATGCCTTTGCGATAGAACTCCGACGATCTAGACTGCACAAACTGTGTGAAAGCATTTTGTACTGCCTCCTGGGAAGAAAACTTCTTGTCACGTAGATAATTGTCCAAATCACGAAAAAAATGGTAGTCCGTTGGAGCAAGGTCTGGTGAATACGGAGGATGACGAATGGTTTCTAACTGCAGTTCCTGAAGGGTCAAAATGGTTTCTCGTGCTGTGTGAGGTCTCGCGTTGTCGTGGAGCAATAATGGTGAAGATCGATTCATGAGTCGGGGCTGTTTTACTGCTAGTTTTGTCAACATGGTTCGGAGTTCGGCACAATAGACATCTGCCGTTATTGCTTGACCAGATCGGAGAAAACTATAGTGAATAACACCATGCTGAGACCACCAAACAGTTACCATTACCTTTTTATTGGTAAGTTTTGCTTTAGGACACTGTTGTGGCATTTGACCTGGGGTCAGCCATTGCATTTTTCTTTTCCGGTTATCATAAAGAATCCACTTTTCATCACATGTTACAATTCGATCCAATATTCCTTCATTTCTGTACCGGTTCAACAAGGCAACACAAGTTTCAACACGCGTTTCTTTCTGCAGATTGTCAAATCATGAGGCACCCATTTTTCGTATTTTTTTATTTTATTGATTTGACGCAAGTGAGTCAATATTGTGGGTAAGGTAACGTTAAACCATGCCGCTAATTCCTGGGTAGTTTGACTAGGATCGGCTTCCACTATCTCTCTTAATTCATCGTTATTCACCTGTGTGGGCGGTCTTCCTCGTGACTCGTTCTTTAAGTCGAAATTTCCATCACGAAAGCGTTTAAACCAAAATCGCACGGTGCGTTCATTAGTAGACCCCTCTCCAAACGCAGCATTGATATTGCGGGCTGTTTCTGCCGCGTTAGTTCCGCGTCGGAACTCGTATTCAAAAATCACTCGAATTTTCGCAGTATCCATCTTTCTTGTCTAAATTGAATAACAAAAACAATTGAAAGTCGATATTCAAATGTTTCAAATT